ACGGATCTACGAGACAATGAGGGGATCTGGATTGGAGGCCCGAGTGGGATAAGCCCATCGAAGGAGAGGGATCGGAGTAAATAGCAAGTGTGATGAGGCCACACTCGGTTTGCCACAAAAAAGCACACATTTTGATGATTGAAATGTAAACAAGTGAAAAGTTGTGAAAGGGCGGCAGTGGGATAAGAGTGTAAAGAATAGATAGGTATGCAAAGAAAAGTTGGGTTTCGGGGAATCTCTTGTTTCATAATTGTTGAGCTTACTTTCATTTCGAGTTAAAGTGTTAGGTGAAGAGATTCGAAGGTCGGTCCAACCAGAAGACGACGACCAGCTGTCGATTGGCTTTACAGGACGATTCATGCTAACGCTATTTTCGAGGTAATCTCATTCGATTCTGGTGAAAATGTGCTAAGCTTTTTCCGTCATATGACGGGCATCATTAGAGCGAGGTAACATAGTCAACAAAATGCAAGCTAACTAGTCAAGAAAATTCACCGGCAAATCCCTGAAAAGTGGTATATATACTCTACATCTGGCCTTTTTGATTAGGTATAAAATGATTTGGTTAGTTAAGGTCATATGTCAAGGAAATTGCCTAGGAAACAGCGTCAGCATGAATCTTTCAGTACGGAACAGAACAGTTTGCTTCGTTTGTAGTCATATTTTTCATATTTCCTGATTCTTGTTTGTTATTCCGACATTATTATACCCTACCTTGAGCTAATGGTGCAACTTGATGGTAGTCACTTTCACTGTCAATGACAATTGTTTTTTTAGTTGGTTTTCAACGCTTATTTACTTAGATGGCGGATCTCTTATATATAAATATCCTATCCTATATCTTCCAGGCAGCCCACATAATTTGTATTAAGGCTTATTTTTTACTTCGATTGGAATTGCCTTATGAATAGCGGGTTGCCTTATAATCAGTTCATACAATTAACTAAAGTATAGCTGGGTTAACTTTATCATGATTAGACCTAGCACTTAAATTTGCATCGTTTATTCAGTTAAACAAATGATAGTTTGCACGACTGGCATCGTTTGGATATCTAGCACAATACCGAAAGGTGTTTTCGTCCTTATCACATTGAACTGAGCCATTTAATTTCGAGAGGTACTTGCCATAAACACATTGTAGGCTATTTATATAAAGATCCCCACTTGCTTATAAGAGTATTTTCCTTGTAAGCGGTTATTTTAAGTGTTTCTACGTGCTTTTTTCTTTTAGCTTTAAGCCAAGGTAATAAAACATGTAGTGTTAAAGCGGCAAATGATATATGTGACATAGGTATTTATTTCCATTACGACTAAGGTTGTTTATATATTAATTCGAATCACTTTTAAACATGTTCAACTATTCCAGCTTAACTGCTTTCTAATTTTTCTTATCAGAATCTCTTTATAGTTTTTTTTCAAATTTTACTTCCGTACTAGCTATTTTTTTCCTAAACACTGTCGATGCATACATTGGCTATTTGTCTTTTCCTGATTTGGCAGGAGGATTTCAGCAACGTTTACCTTTCATACATGTACGCAGTAAACTTTTATCTTAAATTTATCTATTTGGCTTTTCACTATTTCAATCACCTGAGCATAACCAATAGATTGATAATTTTAGTTAATTTTTCGCTACTGTATCCACTTTTGCACTTTATACCTAATAGTTTCCATACTCATTCATACACTATACTTAGATTAGGTGGAAATAACTAATTTACTAAGATAATTTAGGTTGCCGCATAAAGCGGGCCGTTAGTCATGTTCTATGGCAACGCATGCCGTAATATCTGACTGAGGCAATATACTTTCATCAATATTCTCATTCATGATTTATCCTAACGAGCTCACATTGAACTTCTGCCTACTGCCTACTGCCTACTGCATTGTCTTGTGCACCGTAACCCATCAAGTTCATGTATGCAGATTTCAATTTAATATAATTCTACAAGCTTTTTCCCCCAACCATTTCATTATACTTATCTTTGTTTCCTTTAATTATCCTGTGTTTATTTGTTAGACGAAGCCCCATCCCATTGATGCTAATGCCAATGCTAAGGAGGATCTAGCTTCGAGTGATACCCAGCGTATTGAGGCTGCCAGAAATTTATTTTTGCGTCTCGTCAACTCTAACAAGATCGGATACCTATCACGTCTGCTGCAACAAATGCAGACATTATGTCGTGCCTATGTTGAATTTGCCAACGCGGACGTAGAGCGCTATCGAGGACAGACAGGTGAGGCTGATTGAAGCTATTTGGGCTTTAACAAGTCAAATAGAGCTGCGAATTCTAGAATTAAGATCACATGTGGAGTAGCTCAGCACGAAACAGCCTACTGGTTAACGCAGTATGATAGCGACAACACTCAGGCAAAGACTCATGAATGATAACTTCACTTTCATTTTGTTTTTTAATTGACTTTATTTTCGTATGTATGTAAACCTAGATATTATGTCCTTAGGTTTTGTCTAAGTCCCCTTTAGCTATATCGAACTGGTATAACCTCACTTTTACACTTTAATCGGGGTGATTGGGAGACCTAGTAGAACTTACTCAGTCTTTCGTCCTATTGTAATATCAGTGACTTGGCTTTATGAACTTGGCGCATTCATAGACTTCACTTGTAACTTTGATGAGTTGTTACTTAATGCTGAGGGCAGTGCTTCTCACTGATAATGCTCAACCGTCTGGGAATATATAAAATGCTAGTAATTATCATGATTATTATGGCAAAGGACGCAGAAGTGGATATTTTCTACGAGATCTTTCTGTGCCCCTGATCAAATTGCGAGAGCGAGATCATGACAACATAATTTTTAAAGTGTTTTGATCCCATTTTTGGAACTTACTCGTGTTGTCAGGGCGATCTAGTTAAGTACACCTAGTTAGGATTCATCTGCCACAGTAGTGATGATAATTTCCATCTTAGGACCTTGTCCTTGGCATATTAGCAAACGTCTCACTGGCATCGTCAGTAAGCCCTTCTATTCTTAGCACCAAACTACGACTAGTCAAAGAGACGAGTGAAGCTTATCCATTGAACCACTTTTTTCTGAATTGTGTAGATTCTTCGATGTTTCTCTGCCACTTCATTCACTTTTATTTGATTTGCGCCGTTTATTTTGCAGACGAAGATCGATGGAAGCCATGAGTTTTGAGAGTTTTCTGTATAATGCCCCCTTAAAATGTTAGATTTCCAAACTTAGTTCGGTGGAATTTTTGTCGTTTAAAAGATTTTGATTCTTCCCTAAGTTTTTAGTTTTGCCTTTGACATTTTTACTTTCGAGAATATAAGCTTTTGTTCTTTATCTAACTCATACTTAAGCTAGATAATACCCTATTTTTTTATATTGACCTTAATTGATATCATGTAGTAGTTGATCTTAAAATTGTCTTATTGATTAACTTTGATTAGCTAAAGTACACGTCCTTTATTATTATTTGCTTTTCTTATCTACTACACTCTTTTCTCAGGTGATATTCCACTTCCTGCCACCTCTAGCCTCCGAAGACTTGTTTCGCCCTCCTCAATAACAGAAATCAGTGGTTCCACCATTGGCTTTAGCGATGCGTTTAGCCTTGTCGCAGTTCCTACTTGTCCTCCTTTTGTTGACCATTCTGGTCGGTACGCTGGATCAATATTCGACTCTGATTTACGTGATGCCGAGCGCATTAGACCAGTAAGTGTATTGAGGTGATTAAGATGCTTTTAAATAGGTTTTTCTTTATGCAAAGCAGGTAGGTATTCAATGTGTAAGAATACAAATTTATATGGTAAGAATGTTCGGAAACCATTCCGAATAATAATTCATCAACGAACAAAGCTTTGATATATACTTTATATATATATATAAATATATCGCACCACCCCTTTTTTGGTCAAAATGACAAAAATTAAAACAAGTCGATATTATACTTCTATTTATCATTTTGAAAATAGTGATTTTTTACACATTTTTGTTAAATAAAATGCTGCACTTGACAAAAATTGATGTCCCGCCTTTTTTAAATATAAATTAAAGCTTATCAAGATAACCATGTTTAAGCAACTTGATAATGTGACTCGAGTTCAAGTAATTCAAATTCTCAAGCTTGGTCATTCGACAAGGGTGGTGGTCAAAATGTTTGGCATTTGCCACTACAGTAGTTCGTACCAAGCAAAAGTATGATAAAAACCATAATTTTAAGGAAATCGATAGAAATGGCAGAACGAAAGTTTGTTCTCCACAGTTTTTAAACATGATAAAACAGGAAATTAAAGAAAATCCTAAAAAAATCACTAAGAAAACTTCAATCAACGGAAACAGGATCATCTATATCTGTTAAGAATATACTGAATAATATAGATATGCTTGCCTATCGTCCCATTCAGAAACCACTTTTAAGTAAAAAAAATGTCAAGCCCTGATTTGAATTGGCCCAGAAGTTGTTATTAATGGGAATAGAGAGAATAAAGGCCATCATATTCAGTGATGAGTCGAAATTCAAGTTGTTTTACTCTGATGGCAAGTCCTTTATGTGAAGAGAGCCTGGAACAGGACTTCTGTCTCAAAATATTGACAATACTGTCAAATATGGAGGTGGAAGTGTAATGGTGTGGGGATGTTTTTCATATTATAGAGTTTGAAAGTTGGTGTTTATAGAGTATTAAATGGATGCTATTCATTATGTGTGCATCCTTTCCAATAACCTCTTTGAATCAGTTCATTTTCCAGCAAGACAACGACCCAGAACACACATCAGAACTGGCATCATAGTTTTTGAGAGAAATAAATGTCGAATTATTGCCTTTGCCTTCTCAATCACCAAACATGAACCCAATTGATAACTGATGGGGGATTATAAAGTCTAAAATAGGCACAATAAAAGGCGATCGACAGCCTACAGATTACTGAAGATACACAAGAAGGGGAATCCGTTAAGACTAATAGTCAGTGACGAGTATGGAGCAATGGATAAATGCTTGAAGCTCGAGAAAGTAAATGACAGACTCTCAAATACCGTCAAGAATTCATATGAATTTTCTCAAAGGATCCAGAACATTGGGTTGGTTGGGTCGGAACTGTTGGTGAGTTTCGATGTATAATCCATGCACACAAACATCTCAGGCGAGAAGGCGATAAA